AAGGAAAGTTGGTTCCTTGTGCCGCGCCAGGAAATTTTTCTCCCCGGAATCGATCCTCCAGATCTAAAAATCAACAATTCGCCTTTGCATGGAGTATTGATGCCATATATGGTCTAGAGCCCCTACTGTTTGCTTCGGGGTTTTTGATAAGATGCAGAGACGGATATACAATATAATTGGCCCCGATCTAGCATCTCATCTGCAATCACTCTCTCACAGACGCGCCGTCGCCTCTCTCTGTCTTTTTTACAAATACTTTCATGGTAATTGCTTCGATGAGCTGCTTTCACTGGTTCCCAAACTCCATGAATTCAAGCGCCCTAAGAGGCTGGCATCCCGCTCCCACCCTTACACTGTAGAAACTTTTAAATGTTGCCGTCTCTTCTACTCCAATAGCTTCATATCTCGCACCTCTCACCTCTGGAACTCTCTTTCCTACTCCCGTTTCCCTGATAGCTATAATCTCCAACTATTCAAATGTAATGTCAATCGACATCTCCAGTTGCCTTGATCTATCCACTATCCCTCTCCTCATCCTTTCTTCTATCATTACTACCTGCTATCGCTCCAAATCCTCTATAACCCCTTGCGTGATAGTGGCTTCACTCCTTGCTCGGGGTGTAATGCTTAAAAAAAAAAAAAAAATTAACCAATTACCTGCCATGAGCTTCTGCCTTGAGTGCCTCTTGAACCTTATATTGGATGAGCGGTTATTCAAAAAAAAATATCATCAGGACCAAAAATGTGCATTAAAAAAGTTAATGGGTTAATGCCAAAATTAAAGTTTTTTGGAAGCTTTGAAATAATAAAAATATATGTTATTCTGCTTTCACAATTGAATACATGGTAGATGATACTCTGCTTTTGTGCATATACATGTTTGTGTGGACATAATTACTACAGGTGGTGATATGTGTGTTTTATGTTGTAGTTTTGTTGTAATTATATTTTGGAATACAGTTTGATTTCTTTAAGAAATTGTAGGATATTATATGGATTAATGGATTAGAATATTATATGGATTAATGGATTAATGTCATGAAAGTGTTTTTTCATGTTAGTTGCTTAATTTTGTTTAACGGCAACTCAAACTATTTAAAACAAAATCTAAATATTTTGAATTTTACCATTTGAATGCATTTTTATATTTTTCATGTTGCTTTTATTATAATTTTTTCTATAAAAGTATATTGTTGTTCATTTTATTATAAAAATGTACTTCAACTAAATATATACTATAAATAGTTATTGTTGGTTGGTTGATTTTGTTTAGCAGCATATCAACACCTCTATGGGTTATTTAATGCTGAATTCTAAACATTTTGAACACAATTTTATTGCTTCAACTAAATATATACTATAAATAGGTATAGTTGGTTGGTTGATTTTGTTTAGCGGCATATCAACCTCTATGGGTTATTTAATGCTGAAATCTAAATATTTTGAACACAATTTTATTGCTTCAACTAAATATATACTATAAATAGGTATAGTTGGTTGGTTGATTTTGTTTAGCGGCATATCAACCTCTATGGGTTATTTAATGTCGAAATCTAAATTTTTTGTACATAATTTCATGCTTTCAACTACAGATATTTAGTGCAAATCTTATACTTTTAGAGTAAAGGTATGTTTTTTTAGTTATATATTTTGTAGATCATAAAATGTATTGTTGGTAATTTTATTATAAAAATGTACTGTTGATTTTTGCTTGGGAATTCACTATTTGCTAATAACTGGGACCCTAACTGGTTAGACCTTGGAACAACAGTAATTAAGTGGTGGTTCCTTTCTCCTCAAAATCTCCCAATTTATTGCCGCACCCAGGACGACTCTACTAGGTTCCACAGACCCCATGAGGGGCTAAAAACCATTGCCATATTCTCATATACCAATATAGGTTTCCTATGGTAAAATAGCGTTCCTGACAGCTCTAGCTGCTGGTAGGACTTCCTTTCAAAAACATTGCAGATCTCATGGCAGAATTCCACCGTGTGATCGTGGTAAATCTTTCCTCCAGTACTCAGGCTCGAATGGTAATTACAGATGTGGGGGTAAATGATGAAAAACACAAAGTTTAATGTCTTCTGACACCTGATCAAAAGCACACCAAGCTGATCACGTCATTGTAAAATCTGAAATTGTTTGAGGCAGATGCTAGCTGGTTTTCTTGACCCTTTCCTAAACCAGGATAGGTGTTGCGTTCATTACCTTGAGCCAAATACAAAGTGACAACCCATGCAATAGAAACACCTTTTCTCACCTACTTCAAAGACGGCAAAAATTGTTTCATCTCCAGGGAAGTTTTTTGGAATGCAAAAGGCACTGTGTTTATTGGCTACCTTCAAAAAAGCCACATCATCAAACAGCGAGCACTATGCCAAATTGCTGAGACAGTTATGAAAGGCGATCAAGACCAAACGCGCAGGAAATCTGATAAGGTTAGAGAGGCACTCAAGGCAGAGGATTTATAATGTTTCACAGACCCCAATCGTGAGGGGCTAAACACCATTAATGTATTCTCATATACCTATATGTTTCCTATGGTATAACAGTGTTACTGACAACTCCGCCCGCTGGTAGGACTTTCTTTCAAAAACATTGCAGATCTCATGGCAGAATTCCACCGTATGATCGTGGTAAATCTTTCCTCAAGTACTCAGGCTCGAATGGTAATTACAGATGTGAGGGTAAACGATGAAAAACAGAAAGACTGATGTCTTCTGACACCTGATCAAAAGCTCACCAAGCTGATCACATCATGGGAAAATCAGAAATTGTTTGAGGCATACCCACCTGGTTTCCTTGACCATTTCCTAACCCAGGATGAGTGTTACACTCGTCACCTTAACCCATTAACTGCCAAATATTTTTCATACGCATTTTTGGCCCAGACAAGTGTCTTAGTTTATTTATTTCTCGTGTTTAATGTCAGTAGTTACTATTGTCATTTTTATAGAAACTAAAACATCAAATATATATATATGTATAAAATATCAAAAAATAATATTGATTAGAAATAATAAAAAAAATACTTTTCAAAATAGTCATTATTTTTCTACACGTGAAATGTAAAATTATGACAGAAAATGTCTTTTTACGGCTAATAATGAAAACTTTAAAGACTAAGTGTTGTAAAATATACCTCTGCAAATGCAATGTATGTAAGCAATTCAATGTAAATACAAGGAATAACATGTAGTGAGTTTAATTTTAACAGATTCCCCAAAATTGGGCTCATGGCAGGTAATGGGTTAAGCCAGAAACAAAGAGAAAATCCATACAGTAGAAACACCTCTTCTCACCTGCTTCAAAAACGGCCAAAATTGTTTCATTTGCAGGGACATTTTTTGGGATGCCAAAGGCACTGTTTATTGGCTACCTTCAAAAGCGCCACATCATCAAACAGAGAGCACTATGCCAAATTGCTGAGGCAGTTATGAAAGGCTATCAAGATCAAACGTGCAGGAAAGCTGATGATATTTTTTTGAATAATCATTCACCTAATATAAGGTTCAAGAGGCACTCAAGGTAGAGGTTTACTGAATAATGATTAACTCTAGACTTGAAGAGGTTATGATTGTAGTGATCGAGGAAACATCCTCTTGGGATCTTGTTACATAAAATAGCAGTTCTTGGAAAGAAACTGTCCAAGTGGAATTTCTTTCTTTCTAATGGAATACAAAGGGAATGATTACAATTTGTCTTAGTTTAAATGGCCTGGAAACTCTTAGCTAAGGAATGTAGCTCATATAAGAGTATCACTGAATTCTATTTACAACTACAACAAATAAAATTGTGTGAAATGATTTATTAAACACTATACAGGCATATATAAACATATCAGATTCGCACAGGTTTAAAGAAAATATTTCTTGTTTTTCCAAATATTTTGCTGTGGTTAATGTTTGTCGAGATGTGCGTAAACTCTTCGAAGTTTGTCTTTTTTCTTTTTGTGGTGCTTTTTTCCAGATTTTCCGATTTCTTGGCCTTCAGAAGATCCAACCTGTTTCAGTCCATTTAGACGCACATAACCTTTGACACCACGGCTACCAACTGAACTGACCGAATGGTGAGACTAAAATGAAAGAAAATAATATTTTAAAGAATTTAGTCAATACTTGATTAAAAAAGTTCAAATATTAAATTAATTTTCAATTATTTTACATTACCCCAAAATTTTTAAACTCAATTTGTCAAGGAAAAAAAATCTTCCAAAGTGGAAATTTTACATACACATATAGGGGGAGAGTGACAATATATAAACTTATATATATCAAGGAAGGACACCTCGGCGTGGTGTAATGGTTAACAAATTTGTTTCGCTAGATCGGTTACAACTGAAAAGTGAGTTCGATCCTCACTAGATGCCCCATACTTTTGGCCTTGTACCACATCTAAGCTATGCTTGGAAAATAACTATATATATCAAGGAATAATTTTAGGAAAATCACTAAGTGGAAATATTTTTTTTGTGAGACGCGTTTCATCCTTTAGTTTGTTTAACAGCAAATCAACACCTCATGGGTCATTTAATGCAGAAATTTATTTTTCTTGGGAGCTTTGAAGTAATAAAAATATATGTTATTCTGCTTTCACAATTGAATACATGGTAGACAATACTCAGCTTTTGTGCATAAACATGTTTCTGTGGACATAATTACTAGAGGTAGTGATGTGTGTGTTTTATGTTGTAGTTTTTTTAAAGTTATATTTTGTAATAGAGTTTGATTTCTTTAAGAAATTGCAGGATATTATATCTTAGGTGGGGCCCTAATGGGTGCTACCACCCTGGGTCAGAGTGGACCTGGGAACAACAGCAATTAAGAGGTGGTTCCACACTCCTCAAATCAATCCATAGCTGGTGGGTGGGAGAAGAGGTTGATTAATACCTTTCCTAAGGATATTTACACTTAAGTGAATATAACTCAGAATTGGAACTCGGCTCTTTAATTAACAGTTCTGAGTTATTATCCATTACAACACCATCAAATCCAAGGTTACAGCACCTGGCATTCCCAAGCAGTCACCCATCTGGGTACTGACCTGGCTGGACACTGCCTAACTTCAGTGATCATACAAGAACTGGTGTTTCAATGTGATTTGGCCGTAAGAACACATGGCTCAGTGGATAAAAGTGTTGGTTGGATCCAATGACTTGACCCAAAGAGTTATGAGTTCAATACCTGAGGTGGTGGACAAAAGCTTGGGGAGTTGAGTGAAAACATCCGGAAGAGGCATGGCATGTGGAACTACAACAATGTTCCCCAGTGGATGAAATAAAGGGTTCAGTTCAAACTTCCAATTGTCTGAAGAAGGCCAGAGCATATAACAACTGAAACGTTGTGAATATGGTAAAAAAAGATGAGGACAAGTCTGAAGAATGTAAATAGTGTAAATGACTGAAAATCCCTTTTGTTTTCACTACACCATCTGGAAGCAGGCTGAGGTTGTCTGGGGAGAAAGTAAGAGAAAGGAGAAAGTGAGAGAAGGAGGAGAGAGAGAGATTAGCACTGCCCATATAGAAGTGAGGGTATGAAGACAAGGTGTAAGAGAGAGAGTAAGAGTTAAGGATTGGTTTAATTCCTCTGACTACTTTCAAAAGGAGGCTGGACAAACCCAAATTTGAAAAAACAACTTGAGTAAATGTATTTTTCGATATGGAAATTTGGAAAAGTTCATACTCAGAGTAGAAGACAACCGAACCCAGACCCTAGTCAACTCCACCCCAGCTGGACACAGAACTCCATATATGCTGGAGATTTTGGACTCAGAAACAGAGCAGTTAGAGTTTAGTTGAGTGGAGAAGAGATACAGAGAGACCTCCTGACAAAAGGACCTTGTGCCAGACATGATGACCAAAACTTAGAAAAAAACCAGCTGCAGACTCTGCAGAGGATCCCAGTGTCATTTGATTATAACATGTGGGAAGGGTTAAAACTGCTGTATACAACAAATAATATATAAATCAAATTGTTGTTACATTTTTAACCAGAGTTAATTCTTTATTCCCAAAGATTCTTGTTTTCCTTGTGTAGCTCCAAATTCTTCAATTCTGTTTCAGCAGCAATCTTCTCACCCTCTGAGAAACGTGGCAGAGGAGTAAATAGTTGTAAATGGACAAATTCCAGTTTAGTTGAGTGGAACCGCGCCACCAACATGATACACGCAACAAAATGAGTCACGTGCTAACAACTGTAGTGTAAGCTATAAGGAATAAGCCATTATATATTTAGTGATTCTAGATAAAATACAAAGAAGAATATGCAAAATTATTGGTCCTGACCTGGCATCTCAGTCACTTTCCCATTGTTGTAGCATATCTTCCCTGTGCCTTTTTTTGTTTTCAGTTGACATAAACCTATTTTTAATCAGCCATGACAATGACATATGAAAATGAAAAGGTTAACATTCCTGATTAAAAGACGGCTGAAGATGGTGAAATGTGTTTTTTTCACAAGCAGAAGCTCATGTGGAACTAAAATTCCGTCTTTGCAGCTCTTCCCAATTAAACTCTGAAATGCGGTATAAAAAAAAGAAAAAAAACATGCTATCGGATGGAGGAGAGATGATAAACTAATTTGAGATGCAGCCACTCAACTTCAGCTTCGCCCTGCTTAGTCTACTCATAATTCATAGGAGTGAAATACGGAAATCACTTTCCAAACAAATGTGTGTGCACAATGACATAAACAAGTAAATCCTCTCAAATTTTAAAATAAAAATAAAATTAGTTAATAAAAAATGGGGTAAAAAAAAATTGCTAAGAAATCATTGAAAAAGTAAAAATAAAATAAACTGCTAAGGCATCATTAAAAAAAAAATAAATAAATAAATAAAAATAATTCCTTTTAAACTTACCGGAGTGAAAAATTCACTGTCAAGTGTTTCCTGCCTGGATGCTGCTTCCTGTGTGTGTATATATATATGTAAATAAAAATAAAATATTAGCAACTCCAGAAAGAAGTGCATTTTGATTTTGCATCTAAAATGTTTAGGAAGCAATTACAAATTCATGATGCTCATGCAAAGTGGGAAATGATTACTTTGCAGCAAAATCTGGCATCATACACACGATTTTAGAAATCAGTCTAAATTCTCAATCAGAATAACTTTGGACACTAAGTTTAGTCAATTTTCATTTAAATGAACAAAATTTCATTAAGTGTTCTCAGTGTCAGCTGACCAATTTTTATAAAAACGGCAAATGGAATGCACAGTTGATAAGTTGATTAGTTAAATAAAAAAATAAATTCTGCAAGGAGTAGATTAATAAAAAAAAAATTTTAAAGTATCGATTAAAGTGTCATTTAAAAAAATAAATTGTTAATGTTTCATTTAAAATAATGAAATAAATAAATAAACTGCTAAAGCAACATTTAAAAAAAAAATTTGCTGAGGCATCATTCAAATATTAAAAAAAATTGCTAAGTCATCATGAAAAAAGGAAAGTATTAAATAAGTGAGGTGTCATGAAAAAAAATAAAAAATAAAAAAAAATAAATTGTTAAGGTGTTAACGAGAAAAAAAATCGTCAAGACACCAATTACTAAAAATATTACTTAAATTGCCAGTTAAAAAATAAAAAAAAATGTTATGGTGTCAATTAAAAAAAAAGTATCAGCTATTCAAAATAATTTTCAACCAGAAAAATGTGCCGACCTTTTTAGGGGCTGTATTTCCTTTCTTTTTTTCTTTCTCTGTCGATCCATGGACTTCTTGAAAAGTCCTGGCATTCATTCCAGGTGGGGGATGGCAGAACAACAATTTTCCCTGAAGAGAGATGCAAACAGGAGACAAAAAGAAATAAATAAATAAAAAAAAATAAAAAATTTCCAAATAAAATCATTTTTAAGTTTTTCTTTTATTAATGAAAATCTACATTTTCTCCTCGCTACAATAGAATGTAGAAGAAGGAATAAATTTTAAATAAAATTAAAAAAAATAGTATAAAAATTTAACAGAAATATCCAAGAACAATCTACTTCATAATTCATTCAGGAATTGTGATTTGGCTTTTGTAACTTTATTTTTCTCCTACAGAACATGCGAGCAAACACAAAGTTGACATCAAGAAGAGACTGTTGAGGCTTCTAGAGCACATAATGAGGAAGGAGGACTTGGAAAATCTGATACTCACAGGACAGACTGAAGGCAAGAGAGACAAAAGAAAACAGTGCATGACATATTTGGTGAGCTTGAGTAAATGGATGGTGGAACAGGGTTTAGGAGAATTAACAGAAAGACAAAGTTTATTAATAGCTACAAAGGACAGGAAGTTGTGGAGAGCCATTATCGCCTACACCCTGAGGGAACACAGCACATAAAGAAGAAGTATTATTAATATTTTTTTAGCGAAGCGAAAAGAACAAACACAAAAGGCATTTTGAAATTCTTCAAAATAACAAAAAGACTAAATGAAAAGACAAAGTGAAAAAAAATAAAAAGAACTAAGAAATTTATTTCCATTTCACTTAAGCAGACATGAAGCACCTGACAGCATTATCACTTCCACTATCTGATTATTCTCCTTTGTAATTATTATTTACACTTTCTTTCTCTCCCTAAAAACTGACAGCTTCTGATATTCCTTTCTCTTCCATCATGCAAAAAGGAATGGTCTGTTGTTTATCTGAGACAATGGAAGACAGAGGGAGTGACGGCATGTCTGTGAGAGAGCAACTGTAAATTAGATAACAGATCAGGGCCAACCACATTGCATATCCGTCTCTGGATTTTGTTGAGGACCGTAAGATGAACAGTGGGGGCACTAGACCATATATGGCAGAAGTATTCCATACTTGTACATTTGTATTGAGTCCAGGTACATTAGGGCAGGTTGATTTTTCACTTTATTTTAGAAAATCAATATTGCCCTTGGTGTGAAAGCTGGGGTTGATGCGATAAGTACTGACACCAAAAATCAGATTCATAACTTTTACCAATTGTTGAGCATTTATTTTTAAAAATACACTGAAGAAAAATAAAAAAAAACAAAAACAATGTACAGAAATAGATAATTTCTGCAGGTTTTTGCTTACAAAACGACTTGAAAATTTTACTCTTTCAAGAATAAATCCAAATAAAGTTTATATCTTTTGTATTAGAAACATTGAATGGAAAATGTATTCAAACCAAAATCCTAATTATGAATCACCACAAGCAAAATATCCAATTTTTTATTGTATTTGATAAATAAAAAATTATAAAAGATTCCAAAAAAGGCTAATCAATGAATCAGATTTGTTAGATCATTTGATAGCTCATAATTAATAAGATCAAAAAATAGATAAAAGTGTCTACAACACTATAATATTGCTGGACACAAATTATAAGACAAAATGTTTTAAATTTTCATCATTTATTAAAAATTGCACTAAAACTACTGCCCTGTATAACAAATTACATCATAATATAGCTAAATTGTTAAGTATAATTTCCCTTTGAAATAAATGGAGGTCTTATTTGATGGCACAATTATTTAGTAATAATGTCCTTGTGTCTTGCATCTTGTCCATACAAAATGTGTAAAGCTAAAATAAATTATAAATTTTATAAAGCTTTCACTGATCACTGGAATGAAATTCTAATACTACGATTTTTGAACCTAAACTTAATCTTTAAACTCATTTCCTCAAAAAGGATTTGGAAAAGAATATTTTGTGCCTTTATTTATCATGTCAAACCCCAACTTTCAAATTGAGTGCAATACCACAGCTCCAAAATCGACCTGCCCTACAGGTACATATAAGCATTCTACATATGCTAATAAACAAATATTTCTTAAAGGTAACACAGTCATTAAGGACACACTGTACATCTCATGTGACTTGTGTATGACAGGTTAGTAGGTAGAATGAAATAATGTGAGCTTCCCTCTTAAATGTCAACGTACAATAAGCAATTTGACATAAGTTTGTGCCAATATACTGAGGACTTGGCTAGTTTTGAATATTATTAGTAACACAATTTACTGAACTGAAATTTTTTTCCCCTTTGATTTAAATTTGAACAAAATATCTATCCAGAATATAGAAAAAGGAGAAAGCCAGAAGATGAAGGTCACATTGGCAAGATCATTGAGTAATATTGAAATGCATCATTTTTCTCCAC